CACATGTCGGAGAGCAAAAAGGACAAAAGCTCCTTTCCCTTCAGGGGGAGCTCGTAGAGCAACCATGCTTCTTGAAATTGTTCACACCGACGTATGTGAAGTGACTGATGGTTTGTCTGTTCAGCGGTTCAGATACTTTGTTACTTTTATTGATGACTTAACGAGATACACCTACATTGGGCTGCTAAGATACAAGAGCAATGTATATGAGAAGTTTGAGCAATACAGAGCTCTTGTTGAGAGGCACACTGGTAATTATATCAAATATTTGAGGTCCGACAATGGTGGAGAATATGCAAATGAGAGATTCAAGCAGTGTTTTGCAAATTCGGGCATGCTCAACCAATTTTCTGTGGCTGGAAATCCATCACAGAATGGTGTCTCAGAGAGGGCAAATCGCACCCTACTGGAGAAAACCAGAGCATTACTCAAAGGTGCTGCCTTGCACATAAAATACTGGCCGCTCGCCCTGCACACTGCTGTTTTCCTCAAAAATATTTCTCCCACCAAAGCTGTCAAAAATATGGTGCCGTTCGAGGCATGGACAGGTTCCAAGCCTGATGTTAGTATTCTTAGGGTGTTTGGGTGTCTGGCACATGCCCACACTGAAACTAAAAAGAAACTAACAGATCGAACCAAGGACTATATCTTTGTGGGCTATGACGATGAAAGAAAGGCCTACAAATTAATGGACCAGAAAACCAATGCAGTCTCCTCTCATCGGTACAAAGACGTCACCTTTGATGAGACTATATTTCCAGCATTGGGTAACACCCAGGTTCGCCCAAAAGTGGTGCCTGCGGTAATACCAGAGGTCACGATCTCTGGGTGTCAAATACCAGAAGTTATTACTTCTCGGGTTCAAATACCAGGAGCAAAAACTCCTCGGGTGCAAATACCGGAAGTTATTACTTCTCGGGTGCAAATACCAGAAGTTGTTACTTCTCGGGTAAATCTGGGGGCTGGTCCCTCCGGAGCACAGAGCAATGACTCTGACGAATACTCTGACTCTGATTCTGAATCTGAGCCTGAAGTAAATACCCAGTTTAAAGGCTGGGGTGATGAGACTGACACTAGCTTGTCAGGTACATTCCATGATGGAGATAGCGCAAGCAACTCCAATACCTCCACAACTGATGTGGAGGGTACAAGTGACTCTGAAATGAGTGAACTTGTTGAAACTCCTTCCAGAAAGAGGTGTTCGGTGCGTCCAAAGCATTTTGAAGGTTTTGTGTTGTACGGTTTTGGGGGAGCCAGTGATAAGAATGCCCATGAGGATTCACCCAGACGGTCAGCCTGGCTGGCGTCCAAGGCTCATAGTATTGTCCCCCAAACCTATAGAGATGCAATGAATTCCACTGAGTGCAAGCAGTGGGAAGCGGCTATTAGAGAAGAATTAGAGTCCTTCAGATTAAATGGTGTTTGGACACTACAACCTTTGCCAGAAGGTGCCCCATTAGTTGGAAACAAATGGGTTTTTAAACGCAAAGTTAATGCTGATGGCTCTACTTTGTACAGGGCTCGACTGGTTGCGAAGGGCTTCACCCAACAGTATGGGGTGGACTATTTTGAAGTTTACGCACCAGTAGTGAGAAAGGAGTCCCTTAGAATTTTGTTCTCTGTCGCAGTAAATTTTAACCTCAAAATTGCTCATTTGGACGTTAAAACCGCCTTTCTGCATGGAGACCTTTCCGAGGAAGTCTACATGGCATAACCTGATGCACCTGTTGATTTTCTTGTTCCAGGATCAGAGCACCTAGTGTGCCGCCTGAGAAAGGCAGTCTACGGACTGAAGCAGGCAGCCAGAAGCTGGTACCTGAAAGCGGACAACCTTCTGAGGCGAGAAGGATACCTAAACTCCGAACAGGAACCATGCATCTACATCAAGACCTCTGCCACATCCACAGTAACTATTGTCGCTCTGTATGTCGATGATTTCTACCTATTCTACCAAAGTGAGCAGGTAAAATCCGAACTCATTGCTGCTCTAGGTAAGGTAGTAGTTTTAAAAGATCTGGGGGAGGCCAAAACTTGCCTGGGCATGAGAATTGAACGGGACTGGGCCAGAGGTACCCTCAGGCTTCACCAAGAGGAGTACACAAACTCTATCTTGAGAGAGTTTGGAATGGAAAATTGTGTTGGAAGGCCAGTGCCCTTAGAATTCAAATTAAAGCTCCATGATTTTGAAATGGGCTACAAAGGTGATTTCCAGTACCAGAAGTTAATTGGCAGCCTCCTGTATCTTAGTACAAATACAAGACCGGATATTTCCTATGCGGTCGGCTTTCTCAGTCAATTTAATTGTTGCTACACCAGTACCCACTGGGATCTGGCAAAAGGGGTTCTGTGCTATTTGAAACAAAACCCTAAATTTAGCTTAAATTACAGTAGAGTCAGTAAACCTTCCTTTTCTTTGGTTGGATATTCAGATGCTGACTGGGCTGGCAACCCCACTGATTATAGATCATGCACTGGTTTCTGTTTCACCCTGGATGGCAATCTGGTGTCTTGGGAGAGCAGGAAGCAGAGGTGCACAGCCCAGTCGACAGCTGAATCAGAATCAATTGCATTGGCGGAAGCCACTAAACAATGTTTATATCTCAACAACTTGCTCGACAATTTGTTTGACTGTGGTGTGCAGAAGGTAAAATTGTTCTGTGATAATCAATCCGCTATCGACCTTGCAACCTCTGAAAATTATTTCAAAGCGAGATCAAAGCATTTTGGGTGCAGGATCCAACTAGCAAGAGATTGCATCAAAGAGGAAATAATTGACTTGACCTACGTTGGTTCCAAGGAGAATCACGCAGATATATTTACAAAAGGTCTGGAGCGGATTGACCACGAACAAGGCTGCAGACAATTGAAATTACATTATGCGTGAAATTACATTGTATATTAACTACCGTTTATCCCTCTTTTCACAGCCTTTTTCAATTATATTGTATGTAAATTAAATATTGAATTAAATAATCCTCTTATCTTCCACAGCATTCACCAAATGCACTTACTTAATTTATTTATTGTATGATTTGTAAATATTACTGATCTAGTTAATATTTTGTTGTTGTTAATACTTTGTCTATGGCCTGATTGAGTGGGAGATTGCTGGTGAGGTTTTCCTATCCTTCAGAGAGGTTTTCCCTGACACTATGGGCCCCTTCAGGACCCAGCCAAATGGGGCAATCCTCTGCTCAATTAGTGTTCATATAAATTAGATAATTAATTGCTGGCTGACTGGCGAGACTATTCTTTAAAGATTCCGCATTAAGGGGGAGTGTTGTAAATATTTAATGCTTCATCTCATTACTAACTACCATTTCAAATAAACCCGCCATACACACTCACTGCCTTGTCCTAATCATGGTCTACAAATCCTACTGTGTTTTGTCTGCGACTGCAGCGCTCTGGTGTTGAACTCAATAAACTAACTTTGCCTCGGTCACTCTGTGGTAAGCTCTCGAACTGATCACATCTATTTATTTACCCTGTCCTCTGCACTGCAACTTAACTGCTATTACTTGGAGAAATAGACACGGCACACTCATAACTTTACAACACATTTGGTATGGGGTTGTTGGACTTACGATTTCAACGCATTAACAGACCCATTTATTTAGGTTGTTTGCAATGTATAAGTTCGACCGCTTAGTCTCAATAACTCAGCCTGGTTCCATTTGGTTTGTAAATTTTTGAGACCAACTGGATGATTTAAGACTAAGGGGTTCAGCTTACACGTTGCGAACAACCAAAATAAATGGATGATTACTTTGTTAATGCATTGAAATGGTAAGTCCAACAACCCCGTACCAAATGAGGGTTTTATCACTGATTATCAAGGAGGAACGTTCTCATGGTTAAAAGGGCAACAATCCTACTAGAGAAAGCTAACTAATGAACCACAAATCCACCTTTGGCTGAAGCATCACATTTTCCTCCGATTTAAATTCCTCACACCACTCGTAAACTTGTAAAATTTGCTCGAAACAATTTCATTATAAATTTTTAGGGCACCTTGAGTTTGGGTTTCTTTGTTTGTGTTGATACTATCTAAATTGAGGGCAGGGAGTATCTTTCCTATCACCCAAGCTCATGTAGAAGCCCCAATCTTGACAAAAGCGCCAAAAATAGGTCAAAGTAGAAAATTGAAAAATGTGTTTTTGATTTTCTGGCTTATATAGAATTGTTGACGCTAGGGACTATATAGCAATTGTTTATTAGAGTAAAAGAAGTGAAATGAGACGTACCAGGGTCAAATCTAAGGTGGAGTATTTTGGATATGAGAGTTTCGATGAATTCGACGAAATTGCTCACATAGGCCAAACCAAGCAACGTACAAAACTTGGCCTACCACCATTTTTCTTCTTTTTCTATGACTAGAAAGAACAAACATAAGCCAGAACTAAGCAAACAACTTTTACCATAATAAAATCAGAAAGCGTCATTTTTCCGCTAAATTAGTCAAATTTAGAAAAATGCAAATATCTCAGGTTCTATTTGAGCTAGCCAACTTTCCTTTTAGGGTTGATAGGTCCTAGTGGTACCTATTGAACCCACAAAGTTTGGACCGAATCCGTGACCCAATCCCAGATCTCGGTCCACCTTGGGGTGGAGTTACTCAGCTACGCAATTAGTATTCACACAAGTGTGAATACTAATCGCGTAGCTTTACTTCGAAGCTTCACAGAACAAGGATTTACTGTGCCTGGCCACAGTATTTACTGTACCTGGTACAGGATATTCCGTACTCCACTTTTGTGGTACAGTAAATCCCCTACAGAGTACATTAGATCCTGTAGAAAAGTACAGTGAATCCTGTACTCTGGAACTAGTGACAGCTGTACTAATCACTACAGGATTTACAGTTATTTTTCCCCACAGTGTTGCCAGCTTTGCAAACTCAAGTGTGCGCCTGGTCTCCCTGGTCCTGGTGCATGCCTGGTGCACACTTGAGTTTGCAGAGAGGTTCAAGTTTCGCGCCGTCAACGCCACAATCTTACCACTCTGCACCTGCACCGCGGCCTCCTTGGCCTGCTCCCAGACCGCCACGTTCCCCTCCAGCGCGTCCAGAAGGCGGTGCCTCGCCAAGCCAAGTCGAACCACCTCTCGCTTCAGCCGCTCCACGCAGACCTTCGTCTGCCCGGGCAAGTCTACATCCGCTTTGTACACCACCCTGGCCATCCCAGACAGGGCTGCTTCGCCTCGCCGCAGCGCCTCCAGGAGCGGCTCCGACGTTCTGGTCCGCTCCTGCTTGAGGCTGCGCACGGCATGCTCGTCTATGCAGCCATCCGTCGCCTCCCTCTCGCAGTCGATGCACCAGAAGCGGGCAGGCCTGGAAGCACAGAAAAAGTCGTTTATACAAGCTTAAGCCAGGGGGCGGCAACGGCCTAGGAAGCGCGTGAAGCCATGCGCGAGGGAGGTGCAGGGGTTACTTATGTTGCTTCGATTGGAAGATCTAGCCCGTTGATTGCAAAACGCTTTGCGCAGATCAAAAGAGCACAAAATTTAAGGTGCATTAGGCCTAGTAGACTGCCCGATACTTTTAATTCAACCGAACGCAAGGGCGGAATCATTTACATCAACATGGCGCATTCGAGCTTTTCCTGAATGTTATGATTTCTCGTGTTTTCCGGTGTTTTCACTGCACCTTAATATAAAGTCAGAGGGGAGTTTCGAGAAGAGCAATTGGCCTAATGCACCCTAAATTTCAAGCCCTTTACATCGGTGCAAAGCGTTTTGAAAAACAGTCTAGTTTTCATGATCTCGAACAAGTGCGCAACCTCTGCACTGACGGCGCGAGCATCGATTCACGCTCTCCCTAGGCCGTTGCCACCCCCTGCTTACACTGAAAACATAATGGTCGGACACATGGCCAAATTATGGCGTGACCAACATTCACGCCAAAAATTGGCGTGACACGAAATTCACGCCAAAAAACGGCGTGACATGTGAGTCAAGCCCTCATTTGGCGTGAATGACAACGCGTTTAGTGAGACAAGTCGCGCCAAAAAGCGGCATGACAAGAAATTCACGCCAAAAATTGGCTTGAACTTTTCAGTCACGCCGATTTTTGGCGTGACTTTTCTGTCATGCCGTTTATTGGCGTGACACTTAATTCACGCCCCTGTAGCGGCACGAAGTCACGCCGATAGATTTTCAGTGTAAGCCTCGCACTCTCGGCCACTTACTAAGTTTGTCGTCAGTAACCAGGTGTTATAACACAGCACACCAATAATATTTCGTATTTTTTTCTTAGGTACAAACAATTTACTGCATAAAATTATTTAAGAATTTTGTTGTCAATAAGTACAAACAAAAATACATATATAATAGGAATAAAAGTGTGAAGTACATATTACCGTTGCACAAAAAAGAGGTAGGCTAGTATCAACAAAATTTCATACCATAAACTCAGTCAAAAGCGGGTTTGCGAGTGTACGAAGTATTTTGAGCATTAATGTTACAAGTATACAAGTAGTTCGTAAATTGCGAAGTATTTTCTTTGTAAGCTGGTGCATTCTTCATTTTGCGATGCAAACCGTTTTGAAAACGAAAGCCTGGTTTTCATGATATTATTGAAGACGTTCGTGCAACGAACGTTCGAGCATGGCTTCACGATCTCCTTGGCAATTGCCACACCGCTCAAAACCACCTTGACGGAAGTAGAAAGCTTGAGGCGCGAGATGACACTCTCATTCCAGGAACGTGACATCACGTTCAAACGAACGTGACAAACTGTCACGTTCGTTTGAATGTGAACAAGCTGATTTTTGCCCAATTCACACCCAAACGAATGTGACACAATGCTGAAACGAACGTGACATTTTTTGTCACGTGACATTTTGACACGTGACATTTGGACACGTTCGTTTCAACGTGATGTCACGTTCCTGGAATGAGAGTGGATCGACTGCCAATGCGTCAAAAAGACTCTAAAACTTACTTGTTAGTCGCATTGAGCAGCATGAAGTTGTCCACCAACTTGTCTACTTGAAACACCTGCACACAGAAAAGAAAACATCCAGATTTGTATTTCGAAGTACTAGCAACAGTGCATAAAAGCACTGTTCAAATGTTAAGTTACGAATTCCTGGTTTTTACCAGGTAGCTGAGTCCGCAGGAACGTGACATCATACGTTTGATATGAGTGTGACAAAATGTCACACCCCTTTGAGCAGAGCATTGTGTCACTTTCGTTGGGACGTGAATCGACCATAAATTAAAATAGCTTATTCACGTTGAAACGAATGTGACACACTGCCCAAAAGGAACGTGGCATTTAGTCACATTCGTTTCAACGTGATGTCATTTTCCTGGAATGAGAGCGTAAGCTTGTCAAACTGTCGGACTCGCCTCACCTTCTTGTCGACGGGGCACTCCTTTTGAGCTAGCTTTTCCAGGCAAGAAAGGCAGTACGTGTGGCCGCAGGGGAGGGACTTGGGGCGGCGCTCCGCCGAATCGAAGAGCTGCATGCACACGTCGCACTCCATCTGCAACAACGGGACAAATTGAAACCTATCTCGCACGCTTAAAACCTTACGAAGTATGTTGAGCATTCACAATACAAATTAGTTAACTTTGTTCTACGAAGAAATAGTTCGTTAATTATGAGGTATTTTCATTGTAAGCTTATGTTAAATACTTCACTGAAAATCTATCGGCGTGACTTCGTGCCGCTACAGGGGCGTGAATTAAGTGTCACGCCAATAAACGGCATGACAGAAAAGTCACGCCAAAAATCGGCGTGACTGAAAAGTTCAAGCCAATTTTTGGCGTGAATTTCTTGTCATGCCGCTTTTTGGCGCGACTTGTCTCACTAAACGCGTTGTCATTCACGCCAAATGAGGGCTTGACTCACATGTCACGCCGTTTTTTAGCGTGAATTTCGTGTCACGCCAATTTTTGGCGTGAATGTTGGTCACGCCATAATTTGGCCATGTGTCCGACCATTACGTTTTCAGTGTTAATTATAACAAACTGCTTTTCTTTGAAAGGCCTGATTACTGAAAAATCTTGCCATCAAAACGGCGAGACACAAAACTATCGCCAAAATTTGGCGATACTTTGGAGTTCAACCAGGATTTGACAGTTAACTTTGAACAAATGAGGGGGACTAGTTCTTTGTTTATTGCCCGATTTCGACGATACTCGAAAGTATCGCCAAATTTTGGCGATAATAACCATCTCCGGCCTCTGGCCCCGATCGCGCCGGATGTGGACACGTTTCGGTCAAAATAGGCAAGCGCCGCTTTCGCCTTTTCGGCTGCATGCGCACTTCCGGCGCAATCATGGCCATGTACGGTCCCACTCTGGTTACTTCCGGAGTTGATTGGATGCACAAATGATATTTCAGAATGGGTCTTTAGAGATGGATCGAGTGGGACGTCTTGAACGGCAAAAAGCATCAAAATAAGGAAAAACGTCGATTTTCACGCCGTTTTTTGACAACAACGGCCTTCGCCCGAGTCAAAGACCTTGTCCGACAGCTCTCCAAAAAATTCACAGCATTTGGACATATATTCCGCACTAAAAGCGAGATAGGGCATGTCAAATTTTTCCCTGGTTCCAATGTTATGCTCGTAAAATTGTCATTTTTGACGTTTAGACCCATTTTTGAGGCCTCTGATGGGCATGAAGGGGGTGGCCCCGGCCAAAACTGTGTGGGCACTAGTCTTACAGTATCCTAAAGATCCCATTTCTGTGAAAGAATTTTCGATTTAAGACCCATCGCTCCACCCTACCCTGCAGGGACCACCTGGGTGGTGGCGACAACGGTGTTGAACCGTATGGCGGCACAGCACCCACGTTCGTCGGCATCCTGGGCGCACCGGAGGTCCGACGACGACCGCTGACGGGTTCCTGGTAGTCAAGCACTACCTCAACACGGTGCTGAAGTCAAAAGTCCTGGGGACCCAAATGGAACGCAGCCAGCGAGGCTGAAGATGATTTTGGCCTCAGACTAAAAAGTTGCTTAGACGAAATCCTTGTGGAAAATAAGGGCATTTTCAGAGATAATATCTGGAAACCTATCTAAATGCATGGAGGTAAGTATCGTGAAGCGTAATTGTATACGCTTCACTGGTAAAAACTAAAGAGTAGTATTACCTACTGTTTTCAAGCGTAACAGGCGTATCCGCCAAGATTCCCCCTATCTAAATGCATGGGAGAATTTCTAGTCTATGCTTGATTTCAAGCGTAATGTCGTCATGCGTAACTTTAGGCTTGACTCAAGCCTAGAGTTACGCTTTACATTTTCCAGTGTTAGGGAGTAGAGTCTAAAAGCGTTGTTCATCGCTTGAATCAAGCGTACACGGTAAAAACGGAACCTGGTTTTCCCAGGAAGCCAATGGTGAATGCATAGGCGATTTCCAGGAGGTTCCTGGGAAAACCAGGAACCGTTTTTACCGTGTAGAACTACACCAAAGTTTTACCAGTGAACGACTAAAATGATCTCATAGACCTTCACTTTCCAGTGGCCCTTGCCCTTCTGGTTGGATATCCTCCAATGTACCCCATGAGAGTCCAAAACCGCGAAACGCTCCATTGCTCTTTAGACTCGGTCGCGAGTATGTTACGCAAGAGTTGGTTTTAGACGAATGTCATACCTTCAAGGTTCTAGAAACTCTCGCTGCCCTGTGGTTAGAGGCTGCTGCGTTTGGGCTACACCTTTCTTCTTACTGCACCAAGAAGCGTTCGTACCGGAGACTGAAAAGGTAGGCGAAAGCAGTCATGCGCAGCGTCTCTTGATGAGCTAGAAAGGACGAGTTAGATGGCTTCAGCCGAGGGAACACGCACATGGACTAGACACTATGAGAGGGTCACGTGAGGAAGAACGACAATAAAAGCCGGAAAGTCCCTAGGAGTCGGTATCGGTACTAGGGTACTCCAATGAATCTTGAAGCGGAAAAGGAACCAAAGTGAGCAGCCCTTTAAACAGTTTCTGCCGGTTTCTGCGCATGCGCTCCGGGTGGTGGAGGAACGTCTGCGCATGCGCAGAAGCTGTTTTGAAGGCTTACTTTTGTTATTCTTCCGTTTCCAGATTTCGAGGGGTCCTATTCAAAAGATCTTATCTGGGCGCTCCTATTCAAAGAATCTTATCTGCAAAGCAAGCGAATTTCACCAAGGTTTGATCATTTGAGGCAGCTACAAATCAAAATAATTTGGGATTGTAGTTACACAAACTTGAAGATGAAAGATCGAAGAAATTGATAGTGCGTGTAGAAATATGTTCCGCTTACCCTCTTCTCCGTACCAAAAGGTCAAACTTAGTGAAATTCGCGTGCGTTGCAGATAAGATTTTTTGAATAGGAGCGCCCAGATAAGATCTTTTGAATAGGGGCCGTCGATTTATTGGACACCCTGTTTGAACGATTACATTCTGTTTCTGGTTGGAATTTTAGCCGAACACTGCTAATAAATGGATGAATTTCGCGTTAAATTATGACTCGCCAAGTCTTCGCCACACTGTAAATGTCTTACGGTGAAAGGCTGCACCAACATATTATGGTGGAGATTTTCTCCATAATACCAACAAAATTCGTCAAAATATCTATAAGGTACAGTGAATTCTCAGTGGTGTGTTACGAAGTCAGCTGCACCACCATAGTATGGAACATTTTCACCATAATATGGAGAATCTTCACTGTACAACATTTAGAGTGCAGACCGGAAAGTCTCGTCAAGTTTTGGTCAGAGAAAATGTTTCGCCCAAAATGGTGAGACGTTAGTGGCGAACCGCGGCAATGTCCGTTAATACCGTCCATGTGCCGGATGGGCATAAAGATCCATGTGCGGCCTTCGTGCTGCGGGCAGTCACTTAAGTTTATTGTGTCTGACCAAATTTTGGCAAGACGTTCAGATGACCAAAAGTTGGCGAGACTTCGTGTCTCGCCTCTGGAGTGGCGAGAATTCACACTTTTGGATTAGTAGTGATGTTAATTTCAGTCTCGTTTCATCGCTTTCAAACTTCGGAACATGCCTGTTTGAGAACTGGTTCCGGTGCTTTTCTCTTCTTCACTCAGCCTTTTGCTGACGAGTATTTCTACCCGAACAGAGGGAAGTGAGAAGAACTCATACGGAAGTCACCAGTGGCAGTTTCCATGAGATATTTTGAGAAAGTGAAGAAGAGAAAGAAGAAAATGTGAAGAAGGCGTAACAGTTCATCATTTGTGTGGCGGCCGCGATGGTTCTCACCTGTCCTCGCCCTGAAAGCAGACGAACACTATAATTCGACGCGTCCTATCAGAATAATCCTAAGTGTCAGAGCAGATCCAAGACAATCCACATTGCCAGAGCTGACACAAGACAATCCTTATTGTCAGTGCAGACTTAGAACTATATTAACTGCAGAGGTATCCAAAAGTGTTCATGAAGTATCTTTACTGTAAATCAGAGTGTCTCAATATACCTGAAATACAATGTCCACGTATTTATATAAGGATAAAGCGTTGTAACAATAACCCTCCAGCGAGTAATTTTATGAAGTATGTTAGCGTCATGGACTTTGCGAAAACACCGCTATTCACGTGATATGCAGTTAGAGTAATTCTGCATTGACACGAAAAGTTAGGATTGTCTTGGATCTGCTCCAACAGGGGGCAAAATCAACTCAGACGGACCACTTCTTCCAGCGACCCTCTCCGATTTGCCTGATTTTTTGTAGGCTTAATAACTAACTAAAGGAGAGCCTAAAGCCAAAATATTAGGTCCGGCAAAAATTTATTGCCCGAGATATGGCCAACTTTAGTTCAACTTTTGGAGAAAAAACACAATTTTGGGTATTTTGGACTGATTTTACACTTTTCATAGTAGAGGGCTAAAATATGGTCGCCTCATGTAAAATTGGCCAAGGAACAAGAATATGACCTTGGATTTGACCTCCGACGAATACCAATAGAGTAAACCGCCCAAAACACCCTAAAAGCACCTAAAAAGTCGTAAAAAACAGTTTTTTCTAATGGTTTCTGGAAAAATAGGTGGACAAGAACTTCTGATGATCTTATATTGCAGAAAATGACGCGATGAATCGAATGAGACCACGCGCAGGTTTTTATGTCCAACCGTTTAGGAGATATAGCGGTTCAAAGTATGAAAATTTTGCCATTTATTTATTAGAAAATGCAGGTTTTGAGCATTGTTTGACGTTCCTTGCCTTCCTGGTGTGTGTGGGTGATCTCATCTTGCAGAAAATGACGCGCTGAATCGAATGAGACCACGCCCGGAGTTTTGTCTCAAAACGTTTAGAAGATATCACGATTCAAAGGCACATTGAAACATGGGCACGGTGAACCCCAGGGGGACGTCATCGGGGACCTCACAACGTGGTCGACGACGTAACTCAGGCTTGTGCAGTGTGGAAGTGTGCCCCCCCAAAACAAGGCGGGCCCTTGAAATTTGTCTGGAGTTACAGAATACAAGGGACTGGCCTTGGAAAACAAGAAAGCCTCCTTGGAACGGGAGCAGACTTCCAGGGAACTTCCTTAAAGTGTTCCATCTTTTCTTGCTTTGAAAAAAAAAAAAAAAAAAAAAGTTCTTGTTTTTTGAGGGGTCGCGCTAACCGTGTGCTAATTGCACTTCATTGAACAATGTGTCCCGCCTGGTGGACACAAAATTCAATCACCATCCAATGTGTGCTTCGATGGGTCCTATGAGCGAAGACCGATGTCCTTTGGGCCGCTCAAACAAAGTCCGACCTCCTTTGGGTCGCTCGAACAAAGACCGATCTCCATTTGCCAACCTCTCAACGCGTTCATTTTGAAGTCCCAGAACAATCTCTACGTTTTGATTCCACACAAAGGAGTGTTCGATAATCATTCTCTATATGTTTGAAACAAAACCTGCAAACTATCACTTGAGTTGGATGTCTGTTGCGAGAACCGCACAAGATTAAGAAGCGGCGAATGCAGAAACGGCCGAAATGGAGATCGGTCTTTGTTCGAGTGACCCGAAGGAGATCGGTCTTTGTTCATAGGACCCATCGAATTGCAAACGGGACAATAAAATACATGTGTACCGACTTCTGTCTTTTACACTGCAAGAAAGGTATGTTTTAATTGTAAGTAGTAAAACATGAGAGAAAACATCTCGCGAGTGTTTTGTCGGCCGCTATTCGTACTTCGAAGAATGCTCTTGAACGAGTACTCAAGAATACTCTTAAGCTATACAATAAACCCGAAATATAGGATTTCTTGCACACCCTCAGATTCTTACGATGAAAGGGCCATTGTAACATACGTTGAAATGAGAACATACGTACAATAAAATTCATGCGTAATACGATGAAATTCATGCATAATACGATGATACACATGCGTAATACGATGAAATTCATGCGTAATACGATGAAAAACTAAGCATATTACGTATGTGCAAATTTATGCGTACCTTACGATGAAAAACCATCGTAATACTACGTATAAAAACGATCATAAGATGTTGAGTGTGCATATGGTAACCCTCTTTGTAAATGATAAAAAGACTAAAAAAAAGGCTGACAATATCTTTTTAAACAAATAAATAATTCAGAGTTGCAATGCAAGTAACAAGGAAAAATAAGGCACCATTAAAAAAAATCAGTTGTTTCTTTTTTTGTAAATTTATTAAGCGTGCGCACTCAGGTAATAGAAGCACAAAGACAACCGACAGAAAGTCGAAAATTAAGAAGATACTTGACAGAACAGGCTTTCCTTTCGTTATGAAGATTTAACTATTCATATGATGGATGCAAAACAAAAAATGTTAAATAAACCTCTTTCAAAGACCCGGTAATCGTCTATGCGATTTCAGAATATCAGTTGAAGAAGCTCAGGCGCTAAAAAGAGTCAGCAATCACAAAGCCTCACATCCCTAACAACCGGCGCTGCACACATTACATCACTACATCAACACTGAAGTCAATCTTGTAGAAAAAGTCCGTAGTAATCTGTGCTATCTGCTTCTTGCTAGATTTCTGATCATGACACCAGACTGCTTCGAACGTGTTCTCTCGCAGCAGCACCATTCTCCTCAGCTTCTTGAGGCCGCAATAGAATCAGTGGCGAAGCATGGTTTCCGGTCCATGCAAATGAATAAAGTCTCTTTGTTTCTTTCCGTGAACATTTTGGCTTGGAACATAACTATTACAGTCGGAAAGAAAACGATAGGTCTGATCAAGTGATATTCGACCAGCATTTACTTCGCCTCGCAACCCTCGTTGCACTCATTGCATAGCACATCCACACTTAAACCACCATTGCAGAGAAAGGAAACTATTATCTGCGCTTTCTGCTTCACGCAACTCTCCTTGTCATGGCCACAAAATGCTTCGAACGCGTACTGTCGCAGCAGCACAATCTTCTTGAGTTCCTTGAGCCCACAACGCACCAGCTCCCTAGCGAGGTCGGGGCAGCCGTAGGGCTCCGTGGAGGCCGCCACCAGCTGCAGCTCCTCCAGGGTGTCGGCGTGCGCGCGCACCAGGGCCAGCGCCGTGACCAGCGGGTGCACGCCGCAGCGCAGCCACCGCAGCCCCGCGGCAGTCCCCGGGAACGCCAGCACCGGCAGCGGGGCGTCCGGCGGGCAGTGCAGCTCCAGGCGGCGCAGCGACGCCATCCGGACCACCTGCTGCAGCTGCGGCCCCGTCACGTTGCACACGCAGAGGCCCTCGAGCAGCGGCATCGCCAGGGCCGCGTCCAGGTGCTGCTGCTGCGGCGACACCAGCTGCAGGGCCTTCAGGCGGGGCGCGGTCTGCTGCAGCACTGTCAGGCTCCAGCCAGGGTCCACGTCGCAGTGCAGGCCCAGCAGCGTGCGCACCTGAACAAGCCACCATCATCGCTTAGAGGCATTTTTTTTAAGAAGTCCGATCGTGGAACACGACCGATGCCGATTTCCTCCATTTTTTAGTCAAAGGTAGTCCTTGTGGGTCTAAGAAAGGCCACAAATTTTTTGGGCCGAAATATGCACCGTTCAGATTCTATGGGCAATTTTCGTTTTCTCTGACAACTTTTCACATAATATGGCCAAAATTGAAAAATCACCTCTCTGAGGCCTCTATGCACTCGATTGAGCTCAAAATGTGGTATCTTATGTAAAATCACGCGAGGAACACGAATCCGGTGCCCGTTTGTTGATAGGACAACCCAAACAGATGTTATGACTGTTTTTCAGGTTTTGTAGTGGTTTTTACTTTTCTTGGGGTTTTGGTGTTCGGCATCGATTTTCGCCAATCCGATGAGTGGATTTTATAGATAAAGGACCAATCTATCATACTACGAGATAAAAAGTTTGTGTACGCCGCGTGAAAAGCAGTGGCGCTGCAAAAATTGAAAAACCGTCATTTCTGGGTAGTTTTAGATCAGATAAGCCACCTTTCGCGTGACCGTCTCCGCCCCATATTCAGTCTAAATATTGTCCCAAGTGATGTCAGAGTTGGTGTGAAATTTCACCGCTGTAGCTCAAGTAGTTTGGAAATGGCAGCTTTCTGAAGTTTTGCAATCACGTAAGGCATTTACTTTAAGTAGAATTGCGGTAAATGTGAAGACTCGTCACAGATCGGGTAAAAAATGAGATAGATGAGTGCGTCAAAGTTCTCTAGGCGTAATTTTGGACAAGGAATCCGATTTTGCCGGTACGAAGGCCCTAGGTGTACTCTAAAGCTACGTTTCCGTGCAAACCACATAAAAATGGCCTTTTTTCCAACTTCAGAGTTCGCCTAGGGTGTTCGTACCAGCAAAATCGGATTCCTTGTCCAAAATTACGCTTAAAAAACTTTGACGCACTCATCTATCTCATTTATTACCCGATCTGTGACGAGTCTTCACATTTACCGCAATTCTACTTAAAGTAAATGCCTTACGTGATTGCAAAACTTTAGAAAGCTGCCATTTCCAAACTACTTGAGCTACAGCGGTGAAATTTCACACCAACTCTGACATCACTTGGGACAATATTTAGACTGAATATGGGGCGGAGACGGTCACGCGAAAGGTGGCTTATCTGATCTAAAACTACCCAGAAATGACGGTTTTTCAATTTTTGCAGCGCCACTGCTTTTCACGCGGCGTACACAAACTTTTTATCTCGTAGTATGATAGATTGGTCCTTTATCTATAAAAATCCACTCATCGGATTGGCGAAAATCGATGCCGAACACCAAAACCCCAAGAAAAGTAAAAACCACTACGAAACCTGAAAAACAGTCATAACATCTGTTTGGGTTGTCCTATCAACAAACGGGCACTGGATTCGTGTTCCTCGCGTGATTTTACATAAGATACCACATTTTGAGCTCAATCGAGTGCATAGAGGCCTCAGAAAGGTGATTTTTCAATTTTGGCCATATTATGTGAAAAGTTGTCAGAGAAAACGAAAATTGTCCATAGAGTCTGAACGGTGCATATTTCGGCCCAAAAAATTTGTGGCCTTTCTTAGACCCACAAGGACTACCTTTGACCAAAAAATGGAGGAAATCGGCATCGGTCGTGTTCCACGATCGGACTTCTTAAAAAAAAAAATGCCTCTTAGTGAATTTATCAAATTCAATTTTTTCGACACCGTTTTCGTTTGCGTTCCGTTTGCGTTTTGGACACCGTCCTAACACTCTCAGACCCATATGGACTTTTTATTATTTTCCTGCTTTTCAAGTTTCTTGAGCAGACGTAAAACTTAGTATTTTATTTTTACCTCTGCACGTTTTTTATCGTTTTTAAGAAAGGGGACTACAGAAATTTAAGAGTATGTTGCAAATGACAATAAGTTAGGTTTGACGGATTGAACACCCTTGTATGATAAACAAGATCGTACGAAGCTAATAAGAAAATAGTAAACGTTTGCGCTAAAATCCTATTGGCAATGGATATAATGTCGTACGAGGCCGAGAATGTAACTTGTTATCAATGTAGCCCTTTTACGCTTCTTTGAAGTTGAACATTTCAACATGTTTCACAAGTTCTGGAAACGTTAAGTTACTTCTGAAAATATATTTATGACGTTCAAAAAGAGAACTTGGTGTCTTTTTTGACACTATGTAACTTTAACACTATTTTTCACTGGTCATTTGTCACGTATTTCACTCCCCGAGATGAAACGCCCATCGGAGAACTGCCGGGGGCCACCCGGGTACTCCCCGGGAACACCTGGGGAACTACCGGGGAACACCCGGAGAACACCCGGAGAACACCCGGAGAACACCCGGGGAACACCCGGGGAACTCCCGGGGGCCACCCGGGTACTCCCCGGGAACACCTGCACTGAAGACTCCTTACGGACACCATGTATCCGCAATACGGACATTTTTGTGCAATTGCAATTACGGATGGATTTTGTTTGTAATACGGATGATTTCATCCGTAATACAAAGGTTTTCGTGTCCGTAACATACAGACGAAAATATCCGTAAGGTACGGACGAAAAACTCTTTGTAATACGGATGATTTCATCCGTATTACAAGCAAAATCTATCCGTAATTGCAATTGCACAAAAATGTCCGTAATACAGATAGATGAATCCGTAAGAAGTTTAGTGTGTGGGGAACTACCGGGGAACACTCGGCGAACTACCGGGGAACACCCGGAGAACACCCGGAGAACACCCGGGGAACGCCCGGGGAACACCCGGGGAACACCCGGGGAACACCCGGGGAACACCCGGAGAACACCCGGAGAACACCCGGGGAACACCCGGAGAACACCCGGCAGTTCTCCGATGGGCGTTTCGTCTCGGGTCCAACAACGAACTTATCTCTAGTGCTGCGGTGAGTCATAGAACTCTGCGACGAACACAGTACGTAACCAGCACCGCCACCTTACCCATGAGAAGACAGTGCGTGCCAGTAGTTCTCCCTTGGGTTGTATGTTGACGCAGAAACTGATGGCAGCGACGTCGAGGACTTCTTCCTCTGACCCAATGTGTGGTTTCTGAAAACAGGAAAGCAGGCTGTAATGAGACGGCCTAGGGAAGGAATACCATTTAAAGGGGTTCCTCAGGAGGCTGAGATTTGCAACGCAACCCTTTCGACTGCCACTCACCAGCTCGGGCGGCAGCAAGCGGAGTACTTCGGTGCTTCCCTCTTTAAAGTGAGTCCCTATTACGCCGGTGCGGCCCCATTTCACGTCTACTATCGTCGTCCGTATCCGTTTGCCTTGACTTCTAATCACTTCAGTTCTGACCGCTGTCACAGTGCCGGGTCCGGGGGGCGTGCCGTCGTATTGGTCCCCATCCCTCCAGCCCGGTCCGCGCGCCACCCTGCTGCCCACGCTGAAGGTCACACTGCCCTCCCCGTCCACCTCGGCCTGATTGGAGCGATCCTCCCAGAGTAGGGCTGCGGGAAAGAATTCGTTCCGTAGACAAGGTATGAATGAGTCATAAGAGAGAGGATGGATGGATCATGCGGAGTGCACTGTGAGAAAAAAGTACGGAAAAAGTACGGAACATGTCTGGTCAATAATTTGCCTGGACCGTCCGTACTTGCCAACTACGGAACGTTCCGTACTTTTTTCCGTACCCATTTACATGGGTTCATATGGAGCAAGTACGGAACGTTCCGTACTTTTCTCCGTACCGCCGTACTTTATTTTTCTGTACCATTTCCGTCTAAAAGTACGGAATTTTTTACAGTGTGGGGACCTCACCGATATCGCCCATTTCCTGCTGCCGCCCAGGTTGCTCCTCCGGCGCGCGCAGCCCTCCACTGCAAGCCAGTCGGCACAGCAGCAGCCTGGCTGCCGCGTCCTCCGTGGGCCGCACCTCGCCGGTCCACGCCACTGGCCCCCCAGCAGCGCGCCGCACCGTCACTGAGCACGAGGAAGAGGGGCTGGACAGGTCGGCCGCCAGCTGGGCCGCGGTCTTGGGCAATTCTGCGGGACACGGAAGTTGTAAAACGCCAATATGTACTCAAACGCATGCTGGGCAAGTTACACACTGAAAAACGTATGCTTGGCACCGTATAACTCCAGGCTAAGCATAGGCATGTGTAACTGCGTAGCATGCGTTTGGGTGTGTGCTTGCAAGCATACAATTGTAAGTGTGTACCTAAGTAGGCAGGTTTGACGTGCAGGTATCATACACTGTGGCAAAAAGTTACAAAAATTATGTTAATAATTATTTTGCCACGATTCTCCGTAGCCCTCTTATCAAAATATTCTCCATAGGCTCATACAGAATTCTCCGTAGGGCCGTACAGTATAACACTGGAAGGACCTACACTGGTAGAACTCAAGCGTACTTTTACGCCTTTCTTCAAGCGTAGTAGAACTACACTCGGCTTCAAGCTTTCCATTTTGCCTCTCTCCCGCCTATCTAAATGCGTGGGAGAATTTCTTCTCTACGCTTGACGTCAAGCGTTAAGTCTTCAAGCGTAGATGTATGCTTGAATCAAGCGTACAACTACGCTTCAGTTTTACCAGTGTACGGAGAGGACTGTACGGTCCTACGGACAATAATGTAAGAGCCTACGGAGAATATTGATAAGGGGGCTACAGAAAATTACCACAAGCTGTTTACAAAATTTTCCGTAGCTTTTTGCCACAGAGTATTGCAAAATTTAAGTTGTTAACTTTCACCGACAAGCCTTACCGATCTGCAACACGGTCCGATGGGCCGCCGTGTCTCAGGCCGCCGTGTCCGCCTCCAGCGCGTCCTCCAGGCGGTTCCTCGCTGCGACCAGGTCAACATGCTGCCTCTCCAGCCAGTCGCCGCAGTCGTCCGCCTGCCTGGCCACGGCCGCCTTGTCCAGGACCCCAGCCAGCCCCAACAAGCCCGCCTCGCCCTGCCGGAGCGCCTCCAGGAGCGGCCCTGACGCCTTGGTGCGCTGCAGCTTGAGGCTGTGCACAGTGTGCGAGTCCAGGCATTCCTCGGTCGCGGCCTTCTCGCAGGGGATGCACCAGAAGCGTGGGGGCCTGGAGACAGACAGTGCATTGTTAACGTAGACAACGCTGCAGAATGATTCGGAGAGTCGTTCTCGTCGCTTTGACCATCTCGCTCTTGCTCTACAAATCCAGAAGCGTACATTGCATGCTCTGCCTGGAGCATGCCTGCAAGCATACTCTAGCTAGCGCATGCCTGCGAAGCATGCACTTTACTGCAGGAAATAACCACAACAAAAGTACACAAATTTCTAGCAAATTTTTTTTATCAGGAATTTAGTGTACTTTTCAAGTACAACAATTGTTGTACGAAGTACAATGGAACTGGCATGAAGAGTGCTGTGCAGTGCAGGGCTCGTTGTGGTTTGTACAATTCTCGTATTTTCTACAGCCCCTGTCGTATTTTACTGTAAAGTTTCTGTTGTACCTTTTTTTACTATCTACACTTTTTCTTGCAGTGTTACTAGTGCATACACGCTTCCTGCTGCAAAAAACCCCATCCCTTAACACTAAATATGTGCTCCAGTTCATTAAGCAATGTACGCTTTTGGTTGGTGCAGGGAAAAGCCCCATGAGTGCGCCTGCGGGTCAAGTCATCACATCCATTTGACACTGAGACTTACTTGAGCGGCGCGTTGAGCAACTTGTAGTTGTCGATCAAATTGTCCAACTGGAACACCTGCGGCCCGAAGGAGAATGGAAAAAGAATGGAAGAAGAATTACCTTTGGAGTGTTTTCCTCTCTCCCCTCACTGTTGAAAAAAATTTGGAAAATATTCAAGCACTTTTGATGACAATTTTCCGAACACGGAAATAAATTTTACTGATCTTTGCACATTAACTGGATGAGAAAATTCGAAATTTTCGTAGAATTTTTTTTCCCCCGCTGGCGGGCCGCCGAAAAGGCCGGTACAAGGACTACTAAGACCGAGGGGTGCACTCGGGAAATCATAGGAACCGACTAATACATCGAATAGGCTCATTACGCCGGGGCGAGTTAAAAAAATATGTCCCAAAACAACAAAAAGAAAGGGGTAAAATTCCGAGAATTTCGACTATTGGCAATCACCCTAAATGTTTTGCACAAATTTTGGACGAGACATCACAGTTTTTTGTGCACATGAACTTTTTATACGTATAAGTTGGTACAAAACTTTGCAAAAAAAGGGGGATATATGGGCAGTTTATCGTACAAAAATTTTACGAAAAGTTCGTGTGCACAACAAACTATGATGTCACTGATTTTTAAGTGTAAAAATGAACTAATTTAAAACGCAATAACATTTTTATTGCATTAGTAGCGCCATGAAAAAATTATTGCATTATAAATGCAATAATTATTGTATTGCATTGGCGCATTTATCGCATTATTAGCGTAGTTATCATTTTATGCACCAAAAATGTGATAATCTGGGCCCAGATCGGCCAAAAACCAAGGGACTTATTGCATTTTTAAAGCGATGATTTTTTTTTTGGGCCCGGGGTTCAAATTTTTTGAAAAAATGAACGAACGCATAGTTTGATTCGTTCGTCCGGTCGCCGTTCCCGGGGCGCGTCCGTTTTTTCTTCGTCAACTCCTTCGCCCGCCATTTGGATTTTCCGGCCCTCCTTGGGGCTAAAGGGTCGCAATTTTTTATCCAGCCCGCGTTTTGGGATTCCCCCTTCCCCCCCCTTTTCCCCCCCCTTTTTTAAAATGCAAAAAAACACCCCAAGGCATTAGAATTTTGAAAAGAAAAACAAATTGGTTCGTTCGAAAATTTTGGAGAGTTCGGACGTTCATTCGGGGAAAAAATTCATTCGATTGATTGTTCGGGGCTTTTGACGGAGACGATTCGATTTGATTCGAAACAAAATTCACGATTCGACACCCCAGTGCCAAATGCATTTTGAAGGTCACATTTCCTTTTTATCGCAGCAAATTGTATGAAACTTATCACATTAGAAATACCAGTGGTCTCGTACAAAAATTTAAATTTTTCAGTACATTAACTGTGAACGCGAGTGAAAATCCCCTCGACTAGTGCAGTACGGTGCTACGCTGATATTTCTGATGTGATAAGTTTCATACAATTTGCTGTAATAAAAAGGCGAGTGTGACTCCTTCAAATTAACGCATCTGTGGCAGCACTATAAAATTATCGCATTAAGATGCAATAAGTCTCTTATGTTTTGGCTGGTCTGGGCCTACATTATCACCGTTTTTGTGTGATAAAATCATTACTACGCTAATAAAGCGATAAATGCGCTGATGCAATACAATATTTATTGCACTTATAATGCAATAAATTTTTCATGAGGCTACTAATGCAATAAAAATATTATTGCTTTTTAAATTAGTTCACTATTACACTTGGAAAACCAGTGTACTTCCCCTGCCCCCTATTATCTCCTTAAATGTAAATGCAGAATCCGCGCCTGACTCTGATGGGCCTTGTGGTGCAGGGAGGCTGAAAGGTTGGCCGATATAATCTTCGTAAGGAATCGCGGGTTCCAGGCAATGTCCGGCTCGGCCTCACCTTCTGGTCGACGGGGCACTGCTTGGCCGGCAGCTGCATCAGGCAAGACAGGCAGTACGTGTGGCCGCAGGGAAGGAACTTGGGGCGACGTTCTGCATCGTTGAAAGTCTGCATGCACACGTCGCAATCCATCTGCAACAAAATTTGGTTTAAAAAAAGCCTGAAAGGTAGCAAGAAGCCAAACTTTTCAGGTATGTTTATAAAATCTCGAGAAGTTTTGATAATTTACGAAGATACTCGGTATCTTACAGAGATTCGTTGTAAGTCCGTCGACATTCGGCGGAAACTCACGGAAGCCTTTCCAAAGATTCTTCGTGTTAACAAATAATACCGTAGAACGGAGATGAGACAAATTTCGAGGGTTTTATGCCACTTTCACCCTTTTTACCCTTTTAATTTCAACTTGAGGAGCTGAGTTGGTTATCACTTGTTCATTGACTCTTTGGCTGCACTGCCACCAAATCTAGGATTTTTAGATGCATGAAACCCTCAATAACACTCGGACTGTCGTCCCGTCGTCCCGTATTTCCCTGCAATGTGGGGTAATGTGGGACAAGGAAAATGGTAAAGAAGTATGGTACATAGGCTCTTCTAGGCAGGTTTGGAGCTTTGTAAGTACCTTACATTCCTTTAAAAGATGACTGGGGACTTTCGTAAAGAAGATATAAAAACTGGAGGGAAGAAAAATGGGTGACACTAAAGATAGCTGAAATATGTATAAACGAAAGTAGTAAGTTGTACTCTGGTTTAACCCATCACATGAAACTATAAGAATATGCGTCTCCTGTGAGCAGCCAAGGCCTCCTACATCACGTTATAAGTTCACGGTGGTGTTCCAGGCGACCGCTGGAGAGCAGCGCGACAAAAACTGAAAAAATTGCGTTTAGTCTAGATTTTTGTTCATGTCCCATATTACCCCGTTCTACAGTATCCGTGAATTTACAAAGGAACCTTTGACAACATTTTTGACCGAAGTGCCACGTAAATTCATAACTAATTCCTTACAGAATACGCAGCGATTCGAACCACCTCCGTGAAGTTGGCATAGCCACTTAACGCACAAATAAAAAGCTAGTGAAGAGCAAAGAATCACAAAAATCGAAAACCAAAAGCGCTTCACATTAACTCAAACTTTCGAAAAACAGAAAGAAGCATATTAATCGACGTTTCAGCGTTTAACTGGGCTCGCTACTCACTGTCTGCTCCATTTCCCTGACTTCCGGTTTCACTCTCCTTCTCAAACAAACGAGACGAAATGTGACAAAATGTCACGTTCGTTTGAGCATTGTGTACCATTCATTTGGGTGTGAATTGTCCAAAAATCAGCTTGTTCACAATCAGACGAACGTGACACAAAGCTCAAACGAACGTGACATTTTGTCACCTTCGTTTCAACGTGATGTCACGTTCCTGGAATGAGAGTGCGACCTTCGCTTCCGGTGGCTCCTACGCAATGCCCCAAATGAGTTCAAAACTGATTAGGAAAATTTGCTTTAGGGAGATTGTCTGAAGGAAAAATACACATTTGGAAAAGCAGCTTAGGTAAACTGGGCGGGAACGGCTGAAAGACAAGTATGTTACGCAGGACTTGGTTTGAGACGAATGTCATACCTTCAGGGTGAAGAAACTCCCGGCCGTATGGTAGCTGCTGCGTTCAGTAGACACCAAGAAGCGTCCGTCCCGGAGAGAAAGGAGGGATGTAGGAGAACGCTGTCAATCGCAGCGCCAGAGCTAGAACGGAAGAGGCAGATGACTTCAGCTGTCGCAACACGAACACGCAGAGAGTCTACACTCTTAAAAGCCTACGAAGGATATGCTTCAAAACTACAAAGAAAATGAAGGCGTGGTAGAATTGCTTCGTATTACGAAGAAATGCTTCGTATTACTAAGGATTCACTCTCATTCCAGGAACGTGACATCACGTTGAAACGAACGTGACAAACTGTCACGTTCGTTTGAGCATTGTGTCACATTCGTTTAGGGTGTGAATTGGCCGAAAATCAGTTCGTTCACATTCAAACGAACGTGACACAATGCTCAAACGAACGTGACACTTTGTCACGTTCGTTTCAACGTGATGTCACGTTCCTGGAATGAGAGTGTTTTGCTTCATGATACGAAGCATTTCTTCGTAGATTTTACAATGCCTTCATTTACTCCGTATTGCGAAGCGATTCTTCGTAGAGTTTTTACTGTGTACACACCGCCACCAAAGAGGGGGGCGAGTGAAGAGAAAGAAGAACAAAAGCCGGAAACAGTCCTTAGGAGTCGTTAATGTTTACCACTACACGTTGTTTCGGGTTTCATAATTGGCTAAAATTAATTAGAGTGTCGTTTCATAATTCAACCCCCCAAAAATTCAGATTATGACGATTTTGGTAACTGGTTCCGGTGCTCATCTCTTCCGCACTCAGTTTTCTGTTGATTAGAGTATTCCTACCCAATCAGACGGAAGTAAGAAGAACTCTAACAAGAGGTACCAGTGACAGTTTCAATTACATAAGAAGATGTGGCGGAGGGGGCAGAACATGACAAACTCTCCTAGAATGACAGCCATGATTGCCTCCACCAGCTCAAGAGGCAGTCCGTCAAACGTGAAGGACCACTGTTTTCGAGAAATAAGTTCGAGGTGGCTACAGATAGTTGCGTGCGACGGGTTGTTCGGTGAGCTGTTACGCAAGCGATCAGGAAATCAACGAGCAAGTCTGAAGTGGTACACTCTCATTCCAGGAACGTGACATCACGTTGAAACGAACGTGACAAAGTGTCACGTTCGTTTGAGCATTGTGTCACGTTCGTTTGAATGTGAACGAGCTGATTTTCGGCCAATTCACACCCTAAACGAATGTGACACAATGCTCAAACGAACGTGACAGTTTGTCACGTTCGTTTCAACGTGATGTCACGTTCCTGGAATGAGAGTGTAACGATTACGTGAATGTAGATCGACACTTGTCCCCTGAGGCGGCCAAGGTGAGCCGGGTCTCCTGACCGGAAGTTTGAAAACATTCTTTGAAAGGCTGTAAAGACCGTTGTGTGCCGGTCCTGACTCGGAACGTCAACTTATCGAGTGATAGTTTAGTCAGGATCGAACCGAGTAAAAGATAGATAAGGAATTCTAAACGTGCAAGCATCTTCCTTACCAAGATCATCGTTTTAGACTATTCTAGTCGTCGTCGATCGAAGAACAAGAAGAAGAACAAAGCCGGAACTGGCCCCGGCAACATAACCTCCCAGACTGCTATAAGTGGACTGGTTTCTGAGTTTTCTGTAGCGTATCTTCTTCAAAAGCACTTTCGTTTGTTTCAAACACTTTTTGACTCAGGAAATAAAAATATTTGTCGACATTTCTCGTTGCAACCGGGCTTGATACCTACTCCGTTTCTGCCCGGCTTCCGATTTTGTTGTTCTTTTTGTTCTTCGATCGGCGACGACTAGAATGCTTTATTGGAATCAAAAGTGCGAAAATTATTTGTGAATCATGAGGTGTAGCGTTGTAGCGTAGACAAACGTTGTTTTCACTCTTTGCTTTGTGTTGATCAGGGACATCCACTTTTAGGGTAGTGCTTTTTAGTAGAGCTCTTAAGGGAAGGGGGTTCTGGCGTGCACAACGCTGCGGTTCATGGGGGTACCGGCATTCGAGCCAGCATAACGTTACGTTTAACACTTCAAACATACACTCAAGACTCCTTACGGACACCATGTATCCGCAATACGGACGGTTTTGTGCAAGCGTAATTACGGATGGATTTTGTTTGTAATACGGATGATTTTATCCGTATTACAAAGGTTTTCGTGTCCGTAACATACAGTCGAAAATATCCGTATGGTACGGACGTAAAACTCTTTGTAATACGGATGATTTCATCCCGTATTACAAGCAAAATCTATCCGTAATTGCAATTGCACAAAAATGTCCGTAATACAGATAGCATGTATCCGTAAGAAGTTTAGTGTGTATGAGATTATATTCAAAGGTTTTCCACGTTAAATTTAGCGTACAGTCAGGCTGGGAGGGGGTGGTGGTCAAAAAGTGCTCAAAACTGCGTAACGTATCAGGGTACTTTCGTGGATCCTGAACCGGAAGCTCTCAGACGCCATGTTGGCGGAAGTAAGTCTAAACTTGACATGGGAAAGAGACGATCGTCAAACGTATCGGCCACACCTTATCCTTAATAATCGTTTGATACTTATTTGCCATGCATATGTGATTCGCGAGCAATATTTGTACAGCTCGTCTTTATTTTAAAATTCCCGGGCAGTGTTGCCAGACCCCTAGTGCACTGTCCCGCCACCAGAGCGCGCTCGACCCGCCGCTTCCCGCCACCTTTCAAAATAGCCTACAACCGCCTAATGAAAGCACCATCCCGCCTAAATTCGCGGGACAAATAATCATAAATCCGATTTTAATGTTTCAGTCTTTATTTGTTCCGTGACAATACATAACAATGAAATAGGCCCTAACCCCAAAGTTTTCGTCTTCAAACCCTAGAAATAATACGGTGCGGTCAAACTACCTCGGCGGCGAGGTATTGGTGCTCTCGACTTGGACCCGAAACCAGCCGAAACAACCAAAAAAGACCATTTCGATCACTTGGAATCAAAACCGCCCAAATTTGTATCATTTATAGCCTAATTTGAGATTTCCCGGAAATCGGAATTTCGACCCGCCGACTGAGACCAAAAAATAGCCTAAGTGGCGGTTTCTAGCCTAATCTGGCAACCCTGTTCCCGGGGGGGGGGGGAGTTTCCGGCCAATATGGCGTCTGCTTGCTTCCGGTTCAGGATCTACGAAAGTACACTATAGACCCTTTCAGTCGTGGCCGGCTGAAGAATTGAAGTATTCAACAAAAACTCCGGTACCAGCAGCGCGCCACCTAGCGGCCGTTCTGCGAACAGTCAAAACCTGAACCCTATGAGCAGATCAGTCACAAGCGTAGGTCAGGACGAAGTTCATAGCAGCGGCAGCTAGGTGGCGTGCATCTAGTTCCTGATCATTGATTACTTAAGTTCTTCACTGGGGACTGAAAGGGGCGGTCAATAGATTGCCCCTTATTTTGTTGGTAAAAACAGTACGTCTCAAATCATTGCCTGCGAAGAGCTATCCCTTTGCAAGTTGTCAAGAGTCAACAGCTTCGGAAGCAGTTCCATCAAAACGGTACGGACGTTAGTTTAATGGAACAAGAAATCATCCTAGAGAAAAGCTGGACCGCAACATGTTGCGAGCTGATTTTTTGCAGGACTTAAAAGCTTTTGATTGCCCTTTTCGGATTGTCTAAACAGTGTCTAATTTACGACGACCAAAACATCAACAGTGGCCACAAACTTTGGATAGTCGAAGTCCCTGACTTTCCCGGGACGTGGAACCAACTTTCCCTGACCAGTCTTAAATAGTGAAGTGAAAATTATGGAATAGAAATTCTGCTTGTCGACACTTCAAGTAATTTTAGACGAAGCGACCTAGAAGTTGATAGAGGAAAATTCGATTCTGTCGGTTCGATGTCAGCCTTTAGATGAGTTTCTCGCCCACACTGCTCAATCTGCCTCCGACAATTTTGATTTTCCCGGACGATTCCCGGTCACCTCTTTTAATTTCCCTGTCTTGTCCTGGCATGTGGCCACCCTGTCTGACACAATATCTTGTCAAGGTTAACTAAGAGTTTTCCGATTTTGAGAATTTCGTTGCACCCCGGCGTCGCCGTACGCGTGCAGTTCGGAAGATAAAGAAGTGCGGTAATATTACCGTACAATATTCTTTGAGTGCGGTCAATTGTGCATTCCGACATTTTCATGAAGGAAGGCAGAAGATACTTGCCTCTCAAGTATAGAATGTGTTTTTATTTGTCCTGTTTATGTTTCAGATGGAGTGCGACGTGTGTAAGCAGGTCTTCGACTGGACGGACCGCTGCCCGAAGGTCCTACCGTGTGGGCACACTTACTGCCTGCCGAGGGGGTATTCACTGCTGTAATAGTCTGTTCACCTTGGCCGTAATAATGCCTGTAATAATGGGTAATAACGCGTAATAATGTGTAATAATGTAAAATAATGTAAAATAATGTAAAATAATGTAGAATAATGTAAAATAATGTGTAATAATGTGCAATAACGTGTAATAACACGTAATAATGCGTAATGTACGCATTTTGTACTGAAATTTTGGCACATATTGGCTACAAAATGAAAGTGGTCTTACCCCGTAAACAAAACTACTATCAAAAGTAGTACTGTCGTACTACCATTTCGGAGCTCTGTACATCCCAAAATGTAGTACGGAAGGAGTACCTTATGAAACAAAAAAGGCATCCGAAAGAAGTACTGCCGTGCTACATTTCAGGACGTCTCTTTCGGGAGCACTTCGAGACGTCGGAAACGGTAGGTCTGTGAGAGGTCTTTCGGAGGTCCCCCACCACCCGTCGCAACGCCCTGCGGCCATGTAGTTCCGAAGGTGACCGCTAGAGCGCGCACCTGTGTCGTAGTTCGATGGCCTGCCGCTAGGGTGCGCCACTGTTCCGGATATGAATGTGAATGCGTATAGGAATGTGAATATGACACAGATAACCTGTTAGGAAAAATGTATTTATTCACTGATTTTTTTAAATTAAAAATCAAACGATAGGACTTGTCACGAACAACAGAAAATATGGAGACAAAAATGGTGGACAGGACTCAAAAACAAAATATTTAAAAGAGGAATCTCAGTTGGACTGAAAAGAAAATACAGCAACCATAACTGTAACACCCCTTGATTAAAAAATAAGCCAAAATGACTGAAAGAAATTCAATTAGCACTGATTCCAAGGTGTCATGCTTACTTTGCTCTGTCGCAGGAAATTCACTTAATTTGACACTGAAGCACAGGAGTCAGTTCTTGTTCCACATGTAATTGCATAGTGGTGCAGGTTATCGTTCCAGAATCTTGGGCAACTCCAGTGGGTCAAGGTTTCCGCAAAGAGCCTATTTCTCAAGCATAAAATCAGAAGACGAACAAAATAAACACTTTGACAATAAGAGTATCAAAGTAACAGAATATTGTAGGTTAACTTACACCGGCACTTTCTGATTTGGATTGAAACACGAAATAAGCCTGCACCAGGCTTTGAAGTATTCTTCTTATTGGTGCACCTGAGAACTGAACATCTTTGTGCGTAGTTTCTTTTCTTTGGAGAAATGAATTTACTATAGTTAACAGAAAAATAAATAGAAGTAAGGATCCAACGCCACAAGCACAGTGCGCGCCAAAGTGCGCCGACTGTCATCTGTCATCTGCACAACAGGTGAGCATCGCGTGGGCCCGAGGCGCGCTCTAGCGGACACACTCGGAACTACATGGCCGCAGGACGCTGCGACGGGTGTGGTGGGGGACCTCCCAAAGACCTCACATAGACCTACCGTTTCGGACGTCCCGAAGTGCTCCAAGAACCGACTACTTTGGGACGAGCGACCAGGGCGCGCTCTGGCGGCGAACTCTGGCACCACACACTAGGTCCCCGCGCGACGTACGAGAGAGCTTCATTTGTAGTACGTTTAGGGAGGTCCCGAAGAGCTCCCAAAACCGACTTCTTCGGGACGTCCGAAAGACGTCGGATTCCAGACATGTACTAGTTTTGTTTACGGGGTAATTTGCTACTCTGTGCAGCAATATTTTCTACCCTTCCGGTGGTCCCGCCATCCTTTCTGTCTTCCACCGTCTTCCCCTACCCTTCCTTCCCTCCCCCT